ATACTGTAGTCTGTGTTTGATTTTATTACTGTATTATTGTATAAGTAACACATTGTGAGCATTGTACAATCCAGAGTCAATTCCTCTTATGTGTACACATACCTTGCAATAAAGCTGATTCTGATTCTGTTACACAAAACACACCATTTGTAGAAATAGAGAGGGACAGTAAGTGCAGTGACTGTTTTACCTGGTAATATCATAGACGAGAAGCGCCCCAGCTGCTCCTCTGTAGTAGCTGCGTGTAACCGAACTGTGGAGAGAACGCAGGAATCTTGGTTAAAATAATGCATTCACAATATCAGCTGGTGAAATCTGGCTAGGGAAGGTGAATGAGAAACTGTCTCTTGCTTTTAGCTGCCATCGTCAGCCAGGCAGGTAGTTACTCTAATGGAGCTGCTGACAGGTATGAGGCTGTGGCATTACCACATGCAGCTGGGGGTAACTGTTTAAAGCTGGATGGTGCCCTAAGGACAGCATGATTGCTTAATAATTCATGATTTACTTGTATTTCTAAAATGTTTGCCAAACCCAAAGCAGGGAATATTATTACCGGAATCGCTCCTGCCCGCGGTGTCCCAGATTTGCAGTTTGACCGTCTTTCCACCGACGTTGACCACTCTGGAACCAAACTCCACGCCGATGGTGTGGTTGGAGTCCTGTTTAACTGTAACAGGAACACAAGAGAGAACAGTGGACAAGGACAGAACGTGAGATACAGCACAGCACAACAACTAACTTCAGCTAGGGCTGGACAATAAAACAATAACAATAATTATCACAATATAATTTTTTGCAATAACAATATAACAAATGTTCAATAAATGTTTGATTTTATTCACTTGAAACATACACGAATTAGGACTTAATTTTTCTTATTAAGATGTTTATTCTGTTGAGGAAAAAGGACTGAAAAAGGTTTTAATTAAATTTACTTAAAGATATTTGTTGACAAAGATTTTATCATAAATATTTTGAATGTTCTATCTCAGATTTGTGATGTGATCCACTGTTTGGCATCAAGTGTTGACCATAAAGAAAAGTTTAAACCACAATTAACCATTAGGTTTCTTCAACTTTCACTCAGGAGCATAAATCAGCCTTTAAACTTGAAAGAAAAAACTATTTGATACATTGTGATAATTATCGATACTGAAAGATATGAAACTTTTTATCGTGATAACATTTTTGGCCATATCGTCCAGCCCTAACTTCAGCACAGTTGTTGTCGTTAAATGTCATAATGCATTTTTTCCTAGACAAATTATGAGGACACATTTCCATCTAACCAACAGGCGCACTTTCAACTGTGCTCCCTGACTTGCTAGCTTACTTCTCTACATCGTTATAGTTTTTAAGTCCAAACTGAACGAGTTTATACGGGACACCTGTGCAATTTAATGCAATCCAACAGCCCTGCAATAAATCTGAAGTTTATGATGTTCGATTTTGTTGAAAAAGAGAGGTATGTTCTATATTCAAGTAAATTTTTAAGGTATTATTAGTGTTTTTTTGATTGCACTATATGGAAAGTAGGGCTGCACAATATATCGTTTTAGCATCGCCATCGCAATGTGCCCTTGCGAAATAGTCACATCGCAGAAGAATGCAATGTCAAGCATGTCGAATAAGCTCAACCCCCTCAACCTTTTTGCTGATGTATACAAAAGAAAAACTTGCATGGTTCTCATTTTTCATGACTTTTCTACAAAAGAAATCTGTCTGATGTAACATAATTTAATCCGATTTAATGGTTCTTGGATAAACAAAGTTTGTTGCTAATGAGCGACAAGCAGACTCTGCATGCACAGCGACCAGCAATAACAATGTGTTTAGCTGTCGTCAACAACTTGAAAACCACCTAAACTGTGGATTTGGTTGCAAAAAGAAAAGAAACTTCTGTAAAGCACTCAGGGGGTTGGTGTATAGCTGCTCTTTAATTTATTTTTATCATTTAGTTAAAAAATATGTTTACTGCATTAATGCTCAAGAAAGGATAGTTTGCACTCAAAAGCCTTCAGACCTACCAAGTCACCCAATAATTCTAGGATGCTTATTTCATTTCAAATAGAGCATTTGAAGTAATCTGGTGAAAATTCCTCTATTTTTTCATATCGTAATATAAAATATTGCAATGTTAGTCTTTTCCAATATCGTGCAGCCCTAATGGAAAGCGTTATGTTTTAATGTAATTGCCATTTACCCATAAAATTCAAGGCTGAGAAGAAACTTTTTTCAGAGTATAAAAACATGTGTTATATTTTGCTGGCTCAATAATTACCTTCTGTGTATGTAAGGAATCTGGACAGACACACAATTCAAGTCAATGAATAACTTTCTCAAGTGGAACTTTTGTAACCTCACAGCAGAGCGAGAGGGTTTATTTGATGTGTGTTGCATGAAACAACATGTGAAATCAACAGCACTAATTTCATGACCATGAGTGTAATAATACAATTATGTTTTCACTCTTATGCAAGCCTGATGTGACTAATGGGCTTTAATGAGAGAAAACTTACACTTGTTTCAATAAACTGGTGGAGGAGGCAGGATTTCCCCGTCCCAGCACTGCCAATCACCAGGAACTTAAACAGGAAGTCTGAAAGCAGAGGAGATGACGTAGAGATCAATGAAACACAAACGTCAGGGGAGAATCTGAACCTGCTGCTCTTTGTGTTTCCATCCTCAGAGACGATCCTCCATGACACAAATACGTAATAATAACACATGTCATTACAGCAAAGCCAAAGCTAAAGAGTTATTGAACATAGCTTGGGTTAACCGACTTGTGCAGGGATTGAATGACCACAACCAGCTGGTTGTGCAGATGTTGTGGAGAGTGGGCCCTTGCTCTGGAGAATACTACCCAGCCCACGCAGATGATGCAGAGCTCAAATGACTCGGGCCCCTGACATGCGAGGCCATCCGCAGTACAGACAGCCTTTGTGTGCTGTGACCCAAGATAGTGCAGGGGGCATTTACATACGTAGGCTGTGCTGCCATTTTGACTAGACCCATGGGATACAAAACCATGTGCTGATTGAGTAGATGAAAAGTGCGTGTATATCATAGACTGTATATAAAAAGGTGTATACGAGTCAGAATCTTAAGTGAGTCTGTGAGTAATGCATAGAGAGGTAGTAAAAGAAAAACAGGAAACACGAGAGTGATGATGTTTTCCCAAGACGGTAAGAGCAAATAATGATTGCAAACTCTCCTCCAGAGAGCCTGCTTCACTTAGAGTCTGTCAGACAGTGTGCAATTTCGGTTTAAGCTTTAAGCGCTGGTTGTGCTGGCAGAAGTGCTGGCCTGGCAAATGATTAATGACTACTGGTGAGATTACCAGCCAGGTGAAAATCCTGTAAGTATTGAGCTCCACGAGGTCAACAGAAACCATAGTTATAAAAAAATAACAGAAGCGGATTAAATTGATCTTTGGCTGCTGTGTGACATTTAAACTTATTATGATAGTGCTCTTGGAGCCACCTTTATCGGTCAACACCCACCACCGCTGCCAGCCCAGTTTATGGTGCACCTTTGTTTGTTGAAGCGGGTGTTTTCTCAGGCAACACAAGCTAGAGGTCAAATTCACGGTAACAGAACTGCTAAAGCAAAGCGAAGGTGCTTACAAGCATTTAGCCTACAGTTTCCTTCTGCAACAGCAGTCAGCGTTACATCTCAAGCACACATTGTCACTAGTCGTGACAGCAGAACTGACAGAACAAAATCAAAGCTAACAGCTCTGTTTTAAAAGCTTGCCTCAGCTTTTCAACATCTTCCTAGACATCACATATTCCCATGCGAGATCTGCATACAACAATCAAGCTGTCAATGTGTCATAGCAATGGGGAGAGAGGAATGTGGTGCTACCCTCTCACCAGCAGCCTTTCAGGCTCTTGTATTCTTTAAACATCTATATTAAATAACATGAGGTAACAGACTAACACTGTTATCTGCATTAACGTACACTGTGACAACACTTAACACACGCAGGCCCAGATCTACCTACGGTTTATGTATCCTTTATCTACTGACAAAGTGCGCAGGGCGTGTGCACTGCATGAGATGGTTGCCTTCCTGCATCTGTGTACTCCGAGATTAGATTAAATTTCACTAGTAATAAAATATGATACACAAAATGTCAAGTGTAACAACAATGGCCAAAATAAATGCCAAGCAACACAAGTGTGTTTTTTTTTTCTATTATCTAGTATCTATTCACATATTGCCTACATGGAGCCACATGGACCATGGGAATAGGTTAGCTTTAAAATCATTTTTTCATCTAATAATTTAATTTACAATAACTCTGCTCCCAGTTTACTGCTTTTTAAAAACTGCCAGAAAAATATTTTCTATTTTTCTTATATACATTCAGTAACTTTACAAGCAAAACTAATGAAAGCGTCCCATACTGACCAAAGACAAAATTAATGAAACATTTAACCTGGTCCTGTACTTATTGTATTCATAATACTTTTTGGCAATTCCACCACCAGCCCTCCAGGAGAGGAGACAGCACGGAAGACAGACAGAAATCAATAAAAAGGCTATTATAGCTACCATTAGCGCTGGCACTACTTAAATACTACCTGCTGGGATACATTTTTCATACAGGGAATGCTGGAGACAGGGTCCAAGTAGAAACAGCTGGGAGAGAGAGCGTGTGTGAGAGTACAACAAAGGATGCTGGTGCGCCATTTCAAAACAACTGGGTCTACTGTGTCAGGCCTATTGTGCTACTGATACTATCAAGCAAAGGAACTTATGCATCATATAATAATAACAGTCAGTAGTACTGGTGGTCAGCCATAATGTCAATGCTTGCAGACAGTTTTTCCTCAGCCGCTTTGGTACATTTCTCAGATCAGAATTGAAAAATTTAAAACTCCTTGTTCTACCTCCACATCATCTAGTCACTTGTGCTCATCAAAAAGCAATTTCTTATTATTTTCAACAAATTGCAAATGCGTTGGCACATTCATGCAAATGATTACGTACAATTGTCTGGTCTTTCCTACGTTATCAATTGCTTATGTCATGTTGTTTAAAATGTATTATACTGGTTCTCTGTTGAACAGTCTTTCCAAAATGTCCAAAACCTCTAGGCATTCATTCATTGCATAAGTTATTACATACAAAAAGTTTGAACAAGTTGTCATAATGTGCCACTCGTCTTTTCTATACATTTCTATTAAACTTATGTAAATGTGTCCTGAATTGATGAATTGCTTTCAGATGAATCTATACTCTCTGAGATAATGAAGGAGAATGTGTGAAGCGTTAGATCTACCAATGATCAACAAGTTCTCTAAAATAGCTCAGAAGTGAACCTTTAATTGGCAGGCATATATAGACAGAGCACAACACCAGCCTTGTGTATTTTCAACCACTGTCATCAAAACCTTAGCCATAGTTTTTTATCAGAAACTACTTCCAGAACATTGCTGTATTGACAACATGGCTGAGGCTTTTGACTATCTTTTCTGTAAACAATGACACAAGGACTTGTCATCCTGATAGCGCTGACATGTTCACTGACATAGGTATTTATAAATACAATCTGAGTGATAAACAAAGGATTTTGTGCAAGTTGGTCTTTTGCAGGTAATCCATTTTGTGGTTCTGTCTGAACGAATTGTTTCAAGAAATGCATTAACTGTTTTGCAAATGTTAAGGATGACAGGACAACCGTACCAAAGCGACTGAGAAAAAATGTAACTTGTAATGTAGACTGTCTGAAAGTACAGACAGAAGTGAAGCTACTTGGTTTCAGGATGGGAGTAGATGTGGTAGAGACCACTGACACACCTGACAGCAGCTGATCTGCAGGTAACCAATGGATTATAAACCACAGCTATCTTACTTCCTCATATAGCATAGTAGCAAATAGCTACCTCTAAAGTAACTTAAAAATACACAACACTGTAAGACTGAATGCAACATTCTTGCAGCTTGCAAGGTCACCCAATCTGCTTGAAATCCCAGCTCAGATTACCTCAGCGTCTACAAACGCATTCTACATGTATCGACACGTTACTGTAGCTTCGTGTCTCAAGTTTGGCCAACTTTTACGTGGAGATGTATTACCATCTGTTTGCTAACGTTACTAACCCGTTTAAGGAAGCAATGCACTCCGCCAACGTAGGACAGAGGCGCCAGCTCAAGCACACGAAGCACTTAAACTATACCACTTTCTTTGAATGAAATATCAGCAGGAAACGTTGGTTATCAATATTAAAACCCATAGACAGACAGTGAGGTGGCAGCCAAACTAAGCTAACCGTGTAGCTAGCTAACTAGCAACGTTGCTATAACGAGCCAGTCTGTCACATCACACCACGGAGCAGCAGTGTATAAGTTAACGTTAACAGCTAACGTTAGGTTAGCAAGCGTGGAATTACAGTCTTCCGCCCTGGACAAACGTACCGTATGTCTCGGACATGTTGACCCTCGCTGTATGAAGGACTCAAGCTGGCCTTTTTACTGTTCTCGTGGTATTGGGACAGCTGTGTGTTCGATGGGTTCACACCTCTATAGGGTGTTTATCTACGATGCTAGATGTTTCCTTTCCTTCCTAGCTTTTTCGCTCCGACCACAACCAAGTACGGCGGCTGCGTGCTACGTCATTAGTCGTCTAGAGTTGCCTTCGCGTGTTGTTGGCCATGTAGGAATTTTGAGTAAACATGACAAAGTAGTGGGAAAAGTTGGGTTTTCTTTTTAATCACATAACTTTGATGGGTTGTTATTTGTACATGCCTGATATTTTTGACTATGTGTCAGAAATACCGGTAACATCCATATAGATCAAACAGAACATTTTATCAAATTAGCTGTTTCATTTCTGTATCATTAAAGTCGCACTTGTATTCTTAAGGCTGTCAAAAATGTGTTGCTGTCAATTTCTAAATAAAGCAAAAGATACCAAAAGGTTTTTGTACTAAGGTTCCTATTTGTTTTGCTGTCAAGTCATTTTCAGTGCTGAAAAGAAAGCTTTAGCTAAGCAAGGAAGAGTTTGAATCAAAGCAGTTTTTATTCAGAAAAATGCTAGTCCAGTCAGGTTGTGTTGATGATTCTGTTATTTATATTACGTTTTAAAATTCAACATATTGATACTGTATTTCTGAAGTTATATACTGTATGTCTGCATGTGCAACAGCAAGCCACAAGATGGCAGGCAAAGATAAAGGGACTTTAGGACTGGCTTTTCTAGAGCAGTGGTTCTCAAAGTGGAGTCCAGGGACCCCTGGGGGTCCTTGAGAGGGTTTAACAAAAAGGAGAATAATTTATTTTCACTGTAATTCCATCCAAGTAACACAATGACTGTTTTGGTCACACTTTCTGTAATAAAACTTCTAAAAGCCAAATCCTATCAGACGAGAAAATATTATTAAATGGGGGTCTGTGGTCTAATTTGTGTGAGTTTAGGGGTCCGTGATGTTAAAAAGTTTGAGAACCACTGTTCTAGAGAAAGCAGAGTTGTCTAGACACCCCCCCCCCCTCCCCCATAAATGTAGTGTAAGCAAGCAGATTACTACTTTCCCCTGGAAATAATTGCTCAAAGTCTTTTGAGTTCTTTTTTAGAGGAATGAGGAATGTTTTCTTGTTCTTTGCTTATTCATTCATCACCTTTCCATACCTGCATACATATACACGCACACTCACACAGAGCCCAGGGTGTGGAGTGCAGGGCCGCCCAAGGGCAACAGGTGATAAATTGCAGAGCCTTCCACTCTGCTATCTGTCCTAGTTCCTCCCTGTCTTTGTTCTGCTTTGACAGATCCACTCATCCTCCCCAGCCTTGTTAAAAGCTCTTTTCACTAAGATTAAAGACAGAAGGAAACACAAGGCTCAGCGTCGTGTGGGGGCACGGATGTTTTCCTAAGGTGGGCTACAAGAAAGACTGGCCTCAAAGGTGTGCAGCGGGCAGAAAGAAAAGAGGGATGTTTTTTTGCTTCCGTTAGGTGCTCTGCTTACCTTTGAGGTTGTCTCAATGCGCATTGTGTTTTTGTTTCTCGTCTTCTTTCTTGTCCTCTCGCCCATTGCAGGTATCATCATCAGAGCAGGTATTTGTTTGGACTGCAAGGCAAACAAGGTGCTTGCGTGTGTCTGTGTGTGGGTTGTTTGGGGATTTTAACCTTGGACTATCCTGTTACTAACAGTTCAGGCAAACAGCAGAGAGGCCTGCTGGATTCCCATGCTTTTAGAAAGATGCCAAACAGCAAATATCCATGATGGAGAGGGGGGTAGAAACAGAAATAGGATCTCTTTTGTGGCCCATCAGAGATCAAAACAAGTGTGTTCACGATGAGCACATTGGGGGAAGCCCCTCATAAACCCAACAATACTCACAATGTTTACAACAAACAATGAGTTACTTTCCTGAGGATAATATGAGTGAATCACATCTTCAGACAGGTGAGCTCTGCGGCTGGCTGGCATCGCTGAAAATATCAAGGTGTTTGTCACAACATGAGTCACTGGCCGTACAGTAAAACAGAGGGATGCCTGACAGCCTGCTGTTTTATATACAGACACAAAGGCATTCTATGAAGTAAGGGCTATTAAGACACACAGTGGTATAAACATAGCCATAAGGTGTGGATGCATTAATGAGTTGAAACAAGCACAAGAATTCTGTAAAGGCAGAAAGTAATTACTCGAGCTGACAGACCTCCCCTATGGAGGCACTGTGGCTGCTGAATGAGGCTCTCAGACTGTTATGTATGTTGGAGTGGAGAACGAACAGTACAGCCCTGATTCAGACTGAGGGGGTGTATTTATGTGCATGTTGCTCTGCAGAGTAGCGCTTGTGCAACTGTTTGTTTGTACGCCAGGGCATACACCACAGTTTCTGTCACTTCACTCTGCACTGCCTAAGTCAGTAAACTCCTACTAGGTCGCCACACATTAGAGCCGAAACCCCAGGATATTTGAAAGTAAAGGGAATGAGAGCCACACGTTAACAAAGAGGTGTAATGCTGTGAATCCCCTACAGTCAGCAATAAATAGATTACAGCCTACTGTACTGCATTTTATTTATGGCAATAAGAGTGGCTATCTTGTCATGCATACATCATACTGATAATAGTGTCATTTATTCTCCATCCATCCATCCATCCATTAGCTGTTCTTCAGGGTCACGACGAGGCTGGAGCCTTATCTTATTTAACATTTTTTTGCTCAGATTAGCTTCTTTATATTTTCTATAAAGATTAAACACCTCTGTGTTCTGACACTTCTTACTGGAATAAAAGAGAACAAATTTCAAACTTTGCAATAATATTTACATGTTGCACAGCTGCAAAATCAAGTGTAGACGGTATTACTGTAAAGGTTTTCCCTCAAAAAGACTGCATATTGTTGAGGAGTTCAATCTTGGTAGAGCATGGTGGCCTAGCAAGTGTTCACAAGAACTCTACCATTTCCCCAGCAGCAAGAAGTCATTTTGACGTGAAGGTTACACTCTAAAAGGGAACTTCCTTTAAGGCAACAGCAGACAAGCTGTTGTGGAGAGATGATCTAAAATTGAACGAAGGCCTCACAACCTACCCAGAGACCCACAAACCTATTGGTTTTCACTTGGCAGAGAAGGACATTCATTTACCTACGTGAGAATTTTGATAAATGCATCTTATAAAAAAGAAATTCATATCTTTCAGATTCAGTACGGCACACAACTACAGACTCAACTGAAGATTCAGGAAAGCATTATCTTCCAATCCGCTTATTGTAAGTCCACTCTGTAGGTGGCCACAAAGAAGCATAGAAGTGAGACCAAGTTCCAAAGGAGCAGAAGAATGTCAATGAGTTCAAGGGTCCAAGTAAACCCAAAACAGCAGCAACCCAGGCTTCTCATAACAACCACAGCCCTAGGAGCCACAGTGATGCTAAAAGGTTAAAATTTAATGGAGCAAAGCCTGCCAGCTAGATCAGGCAGGTCATTTGTTCCGCTACATTCACACATGACATACTCTGCTTGCTGCAACAAATATTCAACACACCCTTTGCGTTAAGGCTGTCGAAGCTCTGCCCACTTTTTTGATTACCAATGAATAACGGTCGACTTTAAGGTGGTGTAATCATGTCATATAAGCTGAAAGCAGAGTTTCTCTGTCCGTGTTGTTGGCAGCTTGTGTTTGTGCTTCCTAAAAGCTTTACTCCTTCCTAAAAGGTTTAGGATCACTGATTCACTTCAACAAACTCAGTTTTGGTTACTTGGGCTAACGTGGATATTATGAGTAGATCTCTTGGCTCCATTTAATTGTTATTGTAATCGTTGTCACTCCAAATCTCCTCTGAACTGGTTGTATTCTTGGGAGATGTGAAGAGGACAAACATCAATGCTGTGCAGATTTGACATTCACATAGTAAATCCATTCCACATGAGTTGGCTTTAGGACCCATTCAGTCAAATTCACCTAGTTTATCCATCAAAGATATTTGAAACACGCTCAGTTGCCAGTTTATTAGATTCACCCAATTAAAACTAATGCAATTTAATATATCAGCCCTGCAACAAATTCTACGATCGATCGATTGATCGTAGGGTTTGTTGCAACGATAGATAGATAGATAGATAGATAGATAGATAGATAGATAGATAGATAGATAGATAGATAGATAGATAGATAGATAGGTAGATATTAGGATATTCAACCAGTGAGAAGGGGCCCATTTAAGCTGAAGAAGGGGTCATGGGAGATCAGAGGTTAAGTGTGTGGACTGTGTTAGTGGAAAGAATCCTGCTGACCTGTCCAGTGGCAGATCAATATCTTAGCTGAAACTCACCTCTCTTTGCCTCCACACCACCACTTCTGTTCTCCTTCCGCTTTTCACACCATGACACCACAGCCTGGAGGAGAAAAGGAGGGCAGCCAATTAGGGATGTTGGAGTAGGCTGGAAGATTTCATGTTGGGTTTTTTTTTGCGATGCAACAAAAACATTTTACATGGAAGAAAAATGTGTAAAAGAAACATCTTCAAACCGACGGACATCCTACACCTCTGCACCTTATTCTGAATTGCCAGTTTTCCCGAAAATTAAGCCTTGTCTTAGACTACAACAATAGGCAGTAGCAAAAAGTGTAAATAATAAAATGAATGATGGCTGAATTCCATTTATCTGCTTCAGTTTCAGGTATCCGTTTTGGGCTCACTGTCACACTGTCATGGCTTACTCAGACTCGGACACAACAAAGCTATCGTCAATCTTATTATACACCTGTGCTTTTTCTTCTATCACGAGTCAAAATATCTGCTGTGAAAATGGCCTGGACTGGAAAAATATTCATCTTGGGAAGCTTGTAATGTTCTGTTAATATATCAGGCTTCTTTTAAGTTTCCTTAACCTTTCATTGATAAATCGTCACACTCAGTTCTCTGTTCTAAAGTGTACAAACATTTCATTCTATGTCTGAATAAAATGAATTTTTCATGTCAAAATAAAACCTGAAAGTCAAAAAGACCACTGTAGAAGACTTTAGTTGGGGCGCGAGACAATGCTTTGCTGCAAGAGGGAACGGGAACAATGAGGAAGGCACCCTGAAAGAAGACAATACAACATAGGCTTTCTCAGCATGTTACTGCTATGGGTTCCTGTTGTTCAAATTTATTCTCCCTATG